AAAATAAAAGTAAGTAAGTACGTTGTTACGTACTACTCCTACGTCGTACTACTAACTAAGTAAAACTAATATAAACAATAATATATATAGTGGTAGTATGTGTGTGTGTGTGTGTGTGTGTGTGTGTGTGTGTGTGTGTGTGTGTGTGTGTGTGTGTGTGTGTGTGTGTGTGTGTGTACATGTGTAGTGCTCAGGCATTGTGTTCATATTATAGTAGTATTTGTGGGAGTTCCGATGCAAGTCTAGTCTTACTACAGGCTGTACTTTACTGTACTTGGTGAGCAGGCCAAGCTAGTTAGAATGAAAACATTGAACCTGATTGGCCAAGATCACTGTTCTGTTTAAAATTTTTACAGATCATTGACTGTTTGTTTCCTTAAGATACTATGTAACATTAGCATGGTTTGGGCTTAGTTTTTCCAAAAAATGTTACGAAACTTCCCAGGAAATAAGGCATCAAAAATTAAATGAACTTTTTGGAAATAAATAAGATGCAAAAACATCAAAATTCTTGTAATCAGGTCTTTTTTAGGGTATTTGACATCAATATTGTCCTAACTGGATCTTTATTGAGGGTCTATGTGTTTTCTTTCTGGACAACCTCTGATATAGGTCAGGTTGTCTGAAGGATTATCTGGAAATTTCCTTAAAATTGAGCCCTGTATCAAGTATGAATGTAAGAACATGATGTAGGAGACAAGGAGGAGGATAGATATATAGAAAAAAGGGGAGACCTGTCCTGGCCGAAAGCATCAGCCAATACTGGATAGAGGATGAGGAATCAGAAACCACAAAATGAGAAGTCTGGAGTTGAGTAGAGAATGTAGTGACGAGAGATATGCCCAACTGAGAGTAAACCCAATAAAAAAAGAGGGTGGAGAGACAACACCTATTAGATCAAGAGAGGCATACTGCTACCAAGTTTAGAGCCCTAGATACATGACTAGCCATGAGACAAATCCGATGGGGGAAAATTCCAAAACTGCACTAAACCTCTTGTAAACATTGCTATACCTCTAAAAATATTTCAATAGGAATTTTGAATTGTTTTGCTATAAACATAATCAATATTAAGTTTTTTTAATGAAACCTCCAATTGATATTGTTTATATTTAATATGCATAAAAACATTTAATTAAGCAAGTTACAGCTTGTTTGGCAAGAAGCCCCGTAATTTATAGTTAAACTTAATCATTAATCTCAGTCCATGATATGAGATAAGTGTAATTTCAAAAATTACTTTAAAAAGGTGAATGAAAATAGGAAGAGTAATATGATATTAGAATAATGTCGTGGTGGTAAAATTATGAAAGTAGCACATACCAATTTTTTGGTTGTTGTTCATTTGCTTGTACAGGATGATTATTCTAATGGTTTAATCGAATATTCAATTAGCAAATACCACTAAACGCCCAGCTATAGACATAAATTATGTAATATGTAGAATGTCATTTTGCAGCACTGCAGCTTACTTTTAATCCTTAACAGATGTCCAGGCTCTTTCTTGTTGAGGCAAACAAAAGTTCTGATGGATATATTATATAGGTATATTTGCAAGACATAGTTATTGCAACATGCACCTTCAGATAGTTACTTCAAGGTAGTACTGTATAAACCCTACTTTTTTATGTTATTTATCTCACTATTTCCCACACAGAAATTGTTAACAACTATAGAATCTATGGTAAGACTTAATATTTGAAAACATTATTAAATTTCTTGTAGATAAACTATAAGTTATTCTACAAATACATAATTACAAACTTTCTACCCAATACTAAAATGGGTCTCTATGATCATTTTAAATGATCACTTAGAGCAAAATTGAAAGATAAAAGTTATTGAGAAGACCCCTTGCTTTTATCAGTTCAAAACTGCCATATGGATAAATGCAATTACACAGCCAATCTTAATTAGGTGCTATATAAATATTCCTAAAAAAAAACAATTTAATAAAATCTAAGGACCTAGATTTAGCCAAAAATGATTAGTGAAAAAGAAAACCTTTAAAGTTTTTTTTTGGGAAATTTAAAGATTATAAGACCAAAAATTTTGAAAATAAAACTTAAAATTGTCAATTGTATTAATAATCGAAATTTACAGTTTATTCTCAAGATCTGTTGAAACTTGACATATACAGAAATACACACACCAATATACACAGCAGCAGCATACACTATTTATATTTCTGATAGAAAATAAACTTACGAAGAGGTAACCGCACACCTTTACTATGCTGCAATACTTGACCAAAATTTGTGTGCCCATTACCATTATATGGTAGTCCCAAGGCAGCATAGGCACGTTGCATATCAGCAGGTGCTGGACCTTGATTTGGTTGTACAGCAGCCCCAGCTGAAAAGAAAGTTATTTTAGAAATGCACATAAAAAAAAAAACCTATCAAAATATCCACATCAAGCTAAAAAACATTAATACGCTTTCTTTATAATTATGCGAATAATTTATGCATCATTTCTTTTTGCTCTCTTTTATATTATAAAGAGGGAAAAATGAAAAATATTATGTAGGTTTATGTTTCTTAAGATGATCATGAAGAAGCCTAGAAATTGAAAAAAAACCAGTGCATTAGAATTTATATTATTCTGAAAATAGTTAATTCATACTACAGATATGAGGTTGTACAAAATATTTCCATATTGTTTAAATAACCCAATACATAGGTTATATAAATGAATATTCATATTCAAATTCTACATCGCTTGGTAACAAGTTAATAATAAGATACCAAATTTTGAAAACTATAATTATCAGTTTATTAACAAATTTAAAACCAACACAAACTGAAATCTATAGCACAAGGTTTTGTAATTTAAGTAAAGAACATCAATCTCTGTACCACAAAAACAACTTGATAAAATAAAATATGAAAGAAAGCTATATTATGAGCACTAGTTCCAATTGCTGGAAAATAAAATTTACGGTCCACTCTCAGATTATCCCGATATATATTTTTTCACAATCAAATTAAAATGGAAAGAATACGAGATAAACTTTACAAACTAGGACGGAATAATTCAACTTCAGAAGCAACCCCCCCATTCAAATTCTGTATATACATATACATATAAGAGGAAGTTTATTATGTTCACTATAGGAACTTACAAATTTTAAAATAACTTCATAATAACCAGTTTTTTTAAAAGAAATTTAATGGTGCTATTTATTTTGTATTTGGTGTAGTATTTAATGACAAAATTGACAATTACTGATTATTGCACCATTTTTTGTAATAAACATACAAATATAAGTACATTTTGCACATAGAAAGCATTATGGCAGGAGACACTCAGATCACCTTGCTGTCAATTCAGTATTT